TTATTCATGGTGCAAACTGAGAAAAGTGTGCCAGGATAAATTTTTGAATTTCTCAGTGCATTTCTCTCCATATTTTACAAAATTTAATATATTTATATTTAATAAAATAGGTATTTTGTTTCTTTTCTGTCTGATTTAAGTAGTTTTCATAAATTCTAATCTCTAATTATTCATAGTATGCCTTATAGGCCAGAAAAGACAATACAGTCAAAAGTCTTTAATCCGGACTCGTCGGGACTTCGGCGATTCCACATTATCGGTTTTTCCGGATTATAGACCATCAGTTTAAATCTGGTAAGATGGCATGCAGAAATTATAAAATTAAAAATATGAAACCGTAATTTATGAAATAAAGAGCAATTATGATCTAAAGGATATCAAAATTTACAAAAAAAAGCTTAATATTTATTTCTTTACTTTATTAAACATTTCTTTCAACGCGCACATGTGTAAAGCATACATTACGCATAGTCGAATTTAGAAAATTGCAACCAGAAAACTATTTGACGTGTATTCCTGATATTTATAATGATGAGGAATTTTATTTAAATCATATCAGAGTACATCGAGATGAAATACTACATTTAGTAAGGAATTATAAGCTGAATAAAATAAAAACATCTGCCCTGAAGATAAGGATAGTGCTGACAGATCAACTTCCAGTTCATTGTGCGTCGTGACGATCCCCCCCTTCCTCATAGCAGCGTGAAATTGATAAACAGAGTTCGGAATGGTTAGAGAAATAAATCACCTCTCTGTCACTTTCTTCATGCCTTTATCCATTTTTTGCAGCAGTTCTATTTTTTGTTTAATGGACATCAAAACATGCTTTCGCTTCGCAGATTCTTTGGCAGCTCCGGCATCAGAAATTCCATTTGACGTAATCGAAAGTTCAAGCTTACTTTTATAAAATTGCTCTAACAGTCTGCAAAAAATAATAAGTCAGATCCAATTTGAAGATTAAGGAACAACACAATCTGCAACATTAATTGAAATAGATAATTAGATAGTTTTAGCTTAGCTTATACTGTCTGTTATACATTAAACGCGCATGCATAAATGTATTATTTGCATGCGTCAACGCATTATGCATTGACGCATGCAAATGCAATTGACGCATGCAAATGTAATTGACGCATGCAAATGCGTTGACGCAGAAAGTTTGTAGCTTTGAGATCCAGATTATAGATCATTTCGGATCATGGGTGTCCGGATTAACAACTTTTGACTGTATATTCATTTACTCACTTTCGAAATGTTCTTTACCTTCATTTAAAAATTTCATAAATCTATTCTGAGCATGTTTTGAGTAAATTTCTGAAATTCTAATTCTGAAAATGTTAATTTGAAATAATCTTGACGCATGCAAATGTGTTGACGCAGAAAGTTTGTAGCTTTGAGGTCCAGATTATAGATCATTTCGGATTATGGGTGTCCGGATTAACAACTTTTGACTGTATATTCATTTACTCACTTTCCAAATGTTCTTTACCTTCATTTAAAAATTTCATAAATCTATTCTGAGCATGTTTTGAGTAAATTTCTGAAATTCTAATTCTGAAAATGTTAATTTGAAATAATCTAAGAATTAATGATTAAAAAAATGAAAAATTACACTATTTCTTTTGACTGGTGATTTGGAAGCTTTTGTTTATATACATATATATGTATTTTTCTCAAATGTTAAGGAAGGAAGAAGAGGAAAGGAAAAGAATAGAAGAAGAGGAAGAGGCAAGACAGAAGCTAGAAGAAGAAAGGTTGCGTTTGGAGGAGGAACAGCATTTAAAAGAAGAGAGAGAGAGACAAAGACAGTCCCACCAAAAGTAAGCAGTTAATTTTCATCTTTCATTTAAAACTCTAAGTTATTTTTCTTTCTTTCTTATTTTACTCATTTAAAATTTTTTGATTATTATTATGCTGCTCTAGCTTCTTCCTTCTACCTCTGTAAAAGTTTTCTATATAGAATACTGACATTGATCTTTGAAAAGTAACATTCCTTTCTACTCATAGCTAAAATTGCATATCTTCACCTAGAAATTTTAGCTAAAATTATAGATTTTTAATACATGACTTCAGTACTGAAACATATTGATTGTCAAAATGCATCCATTATTTGACATCACTTTTAAGTTAAAATGTTAAATTAATTTCAAGGCAATTTTGAGTTGTAAAGATGATAATTTATAAATTAATAATTGTATTAAAGTGATATCTGAATAAGTCATGGAAAAAGCTGTTAACTGGCCACAAATTATTCTGATAACTCAGAAGAGACTTACTCCTTCAGTACATCATGCCAGTTGGTAATCTATTGTAATATCTTGTTATTTAATAAATAAATATAATTATTGTTGAAGTGGCAATGCCATATTTGTATTAAAACGTCAGCAACGTGAGATATTGTTTTAAAAGATAAGATTCTGAAGATTTTACCAGCTAGAAGTAGTATAAAAATTTTGCCACTTAAGAATTGTATAAAATTTGTCTATCACCATGAACTAATAAAATTTATGTTCTACTAAGAAGATTGTCTGTTTTGTAAATTACTGCAAAATACATTACACTATCTTAAAGTTAAATGCATTTTCTTTTTTATATGCTGACAACAATTTGATTACATATAAATCTCTGTGTCTGCAGTATTCTGTGCTTGTCCCATCTACAGCATCTGTTTGAGGATAATTGCAATGCAAACTGTAGATTCTCAAGAATGGGATTTCATTAAGAGTCCCTGGTATATGATATAAAGTCTAAAAATCCAGACCTCCAGTATCTGGAATGATCTAATATCCAGACCTTTGGACTGCAAATCCAATAAATAAATAGCTTTATATATAAAATTAAAATAATGAGCAAAATTCACGTTCCTACTTACAAAGTTTAGGATTGAAGAATTTAATACAGGCCAAAAGAAGGCAGATGTGTCATAAATGCCATTTTTCTCTTCACTAGCTGAAATTCTCTGCAGGCATTAACTTTCAAACACCTGCTGGCTAGGGAGTGGGGCAGAGGCCAATGACAATAAATTGATTGGCATATTGATGTTGGCCAGAAAAACACTTTGGGCCCTTGAGCGATTGTGATGGTGTTAGCATTTTTCTGTTTCACCTAAACAATGCAAATAGATATAATAAGTAGACCCCAATGTTGCTATGTCTACAAATCATTTTGCTAGATTTAAACTGATCATCTCAGGACTGGAAAGTTCCAGCAGTTCTGGATCTCAGACTCTATACTGTATAGTAAATATTAAATTTCAGAATCCATGAAGATCTCAGGATATGTATGATTCTGTGTAACTTTCCTAATCTGGCTAAGTTCTTCAAAATGTATGTTAATTTAAGTAGTAATGAAATGTCTATTTTTTTGTGATATTAATTTACATGGAAAACAGAAACCACAGAGCATTTCAGACAAGAAAACAGATCTGAGGGCATTTCTCCCCATTGTAATTCTTGTTATTAATCCTCCTGAGCTGAACCTTGATCTGATCAGGTCAATGAATTTTCAAGGGATTTATTGACCAATGCCCTGGTCATCTTATAGATGACTGTTAGTTTATCCAACTGTAAGCTGTGTCCTAATTTTTAGGAGCACTCCAGGAAATAGACCTGTACCCTTCTTACCCTACTATCCACAATATTTTAAGTGCCCCATGGCAAAAAGAACACTATATGTCTACTAACATTTGTGCCTTTTCCAAGATTTAAATCAAAGTTCAGCTGGGAAGCAGCCAGCACCTCTAACCACCATATGTGTAGCGTTGCGGTATCTTAAATTAAAATTAATAAACATAAGAATACATCTTTGTGAGGGGACTGTAGTACAACTTTTATTATTGCGATTTCAACTTTAGAACACAACACAGCAAAAAGGCAAAGCGTGAAAGTTACATTTAGCATTTACAAGAATGCAAAAACAAAATGCGAGCTGCACATGTGAACTGCGGGTTGTGAAATAAGATCTCACAGACAGGTAGACAACTCTGGTGGCTGAAACAATATGAATCAGCATAGAAGTTTCCCTCTCTTGCTTGATTTTGTATGTTGAAAAGGATGTGGAAAGGTTTTCTAAAATTTCTTATTTCAGCATTTCTGTAGTCCTTGTGTAAATAGCTGTAAAATTTCTGAAACTTGTATTGGTACCCTTTCCTTGCACTTGTAAAATAGTAATCGATCCTGATACTGCAAATAGTAATAAAACTGTTGTCAAGAAAATGCATATTGAAGCAAATGCCAAAGAAACTAATCATTGTCCACACCTCCTTGTTGTCTCCAGTCCTTCTGGTGAATTGCAAAAGATATCTGCTTTCTTGGTAAGCAAATACATCCATTTGTGCATTGCTGAGCCAAGGAATATAAAGCATCTTCCATTCTGTTTCCCTTTTATGTCAAACCAAACTTCGACAAATATCTATATCTGTGTTAGCACACTCAACTTCTGTAGAGGCATGATCTTCGGAAATCAACCTTCTGTTTGTTTGAGAAGAAGAGTTCGCTTTTGAGTTATCTGACAAAAAGGTTTGTGCTGCTGAGCGGATTAAGTGGCTTGCATGCCAACCTACCAATTTTCATTCAGAATTTTTTAAATGCTAGAACTTTTCAAGTAAGGATTGGCTTTGTTGTGTCAGAAGTTTTCAAACAGCAGTGTAACACTGTTCATCTTATAAGTCTGTATTAAAAGAACTTCTAATTAGGAACTAATTAGGATATTGATATGTTGATGACCTACAAATTAGCTGTTGAGGGACAGATATGAGATGTGTAGAGAGGCAATTACAGATCACTTTGAACAGGATCAAGGAATGGTCAAACAAACTGGGCTTTACTTTTTCGAAACAGAAGACTATATGCAAGCACTTTTGTAGAAAGCGAGATTTCCATTCTGAGCCCAAGTTTTATCTAAATAATTCAATGATTCCAGTTGCACCTGAAGTAAAGTTTTTAGAAGTGATTTGTTCGAATGAAAATTGACTTTCCTTTCTCATGTCTTAAACCTGAGAAAGAAGTCTATGAAAATACTAAATATTTTAAAAGTCTTGGTGAACAACTTCTGGGGTGCAGAGTGCTGCTCTGTGCTTCGCATTTACAAAGCACTTGTCCACTCTAGACTGGACTATGGCTCAGTTGTTTATGTATCCACTCGGCCTTCAATTTTGTTAAAATTAGATCCTGTTCATCATCAATCTCTGCAGATTTGTTCTGGAGCTTTCAGGACATCTCCTGTCCAGAGCCTTTATGTTGATTGTAAAAAATCATCACTGTGCTTGAGGTGTGAGGAATTGTCGTTTTGGCAGTACTTTAATATATTTTCTCAACCTGACTATCTCAATAAGCTATGTTTGCTTGATAACGTCCGTGACATTTTATCTGAAGCACAACCATCCTGTGTGTCTTCTTTTTCTTTAACAGTTCGTTCTCTAATTGAGGAAGTCTCCTTGTCTGGCATTTTGAAGTCCCACCCGACAAAAATACAGAAAGCCATCTTCTTGATGTTTTCAACCAAACTATCTACAGCCAACTTTTTGCTGAGCACAGGAATAGATATAGCAGTTATGTTCCCATATATACAGATGGATCCAAGTCAACTGGTCATGTTGAGATAGTATTTATAATTGGAGACCATGTGGAGGGGGGAAATTTGCACCACACTTCCTCAGTCTTAACATCAGAAGTAACTGCTATATAATCTACACTTCTGTACACATCAAAGCTATGCCATGAAAAATTCATATTTTATACAGACTCATACAGTGCACTGAAAACTTTAGAAGGTTCTTCCAGAACTCGCAGTCCTGTAGTCATACATATTCTCAAGTTAATTTTTAACTTACAAAAGCATGGTTTTGAAATTCTGTACTGCTGGGTTCCTGGCCATGTTGGTATCAGGGAAAATGAACTGGCAGACATCACAGCCAAATCTGCTGTTGATTTGCGCAGCCAGCATGTTCCACTGACAGATATTAAGAAGGTTATTAAGCGAAACATTCTAGAGAAGTGGGATGCTCAGGTCCTCAATAAACTTCACAGCATGAAACCTGTAGTTAAGTAATGGGACTCGATACAAAACTGAAGGGAGGAAGTAATTATAACCTGTCTTCATATTGGTCATTCTCATATCGCATAGTTAGGCCAAGGGTGAACCTGTTTGTTCTTACTATGGAAGTGTTCTGATAGTGCATCACTTTCTAATTGACTGCTCATATGACTCTTAAGCCTCTTGAGCGAATAATCGGGGAAGAGGTTAATACTTATTTATTTCGATACATAAGGGAAACTGGCTTTTATCATCTAATTTGATGTTATATCCTCGTTTTTTAATGTCTCATGTTTTAACATTTTATACCTACTTCACATTTCATATTCTATGTAAATCATGAATAATTTCATTTCAATATTCATTATTTTATTACTTCTATTGATTTTATATGTCGATTATTATTTTAAATATGTGATTGTACTTAATTGTCTGTGTATTGTCATCATGTATCTGGCACTTATAACCTCTCCAGGTTGTGTGCCATATAGCCCATCTAATCATAAAATTGTCACCAAGCAGATTAATTTAATGCCAGTTATGGATAAAAGGAGCATCCTAATATTTGCACTTTCATTTGATGTAATCCCAATTGATTCTCGATAAGCCACCTTTTGTTTTTATAAACAAGGACATAAATTAACTATTATTGATGCATTTTGTTATTGCATTTTGTGAAAAATGAAATCAAAGTCTGTAGATTCTCATTTGTGACTGCACTCCAGTTCATTTACAGCTGGTCGAGAAAATTAACATCTGTTGAATAATAAAAATAACATCTGTATTT